CCATTTTAGGACTCGGGAAAAAAACATTCGTTAAAAAAATCTTTCAAACGATCAATTGAGCTTACAAGTAGACCAAAGATTTAGTAACTAGGGCTCACAGCGCCTTATGCCGGCTGAGTTTGAGGGCAGGTCATTTTCTTACTATTTTCACGTCTAATAAGATAATTACAATACGTAAGTACGTGCCAATACGTGGACCAGCTGTGTGCTGATCCTTCCTTCGATCTGAACCAAGAATCTCGAATGAATGAATGAGTACGTTCAGCTTCCACTATTCTAATTTTACTTACCACTACCGACTTTGTGTCGAAACAAACATATCATGAACAATAAGGTTATAAATAAAAAAACAAGTTATCCATCCCTTTCCATCCGTGCGCGGGAAAACATTTCAGTTTGTCTACTGTATCACTTACCTATCCTAGATCGCCTCACTGGAGCAACTGATCATTCAACTTTCCACCAAAATATAATCCGTAAGAACATAGCTTCACAGATAAGATCTGAAGACAGCCTGATGCCGAAAGATTAATGGGACAAGTCTGGATTTCGGTACGCAGTGCTCACACTTAAATTCGAACTAGGAGGAGCACAGCCTCTGCCGCGGAGTCCACAACCAACCCAGTCAGCGGTGTAGTGCATGTCTCAAAGATTGTCATACCCGGCGCGTGGGGGAGGGGGGGGGGGGGGGGGGGGCCATTTTACCCCGGGAAATTTTGGGGGGGGGTGGGCCGCCCGGTTCCCCGAACCCTGCCAAAAAAAGCCCTTTTTCCACCCCCGTTTTCAGACCATCCTTTTTTTCACCCCTGCCCTTTCGGAAGAAATTTTACCGGTTTTGAGATTTTTTTTCTTGGGCGTCGGGTCCAAAATAAAAAAAAAAATGGGTGTGGGCTGTGCACGTTCCAACAAGAACAGCCGGCCGCGGAGAGGCCCCGCGCGCGGCCGGGGCCCACCCACCCCCGCGGGGGGGGGGTTGGGGGTGGTCAAAGATGGTGCCGCGCGGGGGGGGGGGGGGGGGGGGGGGGGGGGGGGCGGTCATTATACTCCTGGAAATTTCTGGTGAGGGTGTGCCGCACGGTTCCCCGAATCCTGACCAAAAAATGCCATTTTCCACACCCGTTTTCAGACCATACTCTTTTTCAGACCTAGCCTTTAGGAAGAAATTATGTCGTGATTGAGACTTTTGTGCTTGGGCCGTCGTATCAAAAATAAAACACAAACAGCGGTGATAATCGTTGTGATTTCTCGCATTTTTATAACCTTGACTTTTCGTATGCTATTCAATATACATTTTCAAAAGTGATCTTAAGTGACCGTTAAAGAAAATGACAAGACTATATACTCAAAAATTACAAACGTATTTCCAAATTAAAGGTGGAGAGAAGCGAACAGCGGAAATAATGAATGTATTCAAAACAAACAGTCACAACCTACGTGTGGCTTTACAAAATAAAGTTGTATTAACAGAGTAAAAATTTTAAAACAAATTCAATTTAACAATTAGACAAATTGAAAGAGACATTTATTAATAAAAGATCTTTTAAATCGTTCTGTTTTGGCTGCAGGTAAAATAAAATTATGCCCTCGATCTCACAAAGATTTCTGTCTTTCAGGGGACCACAGCTCGAAAAGGGGATGCGATAGGCTAAGAACAGCGCAGACGCATTTCCGGTCGTCGCTTCTCTCCCTTATTTTTCGGAGGGAGAGAAGCGACGACCGGAAATACATCTGCTTTTCGCAGGCTAGGGATGCGAGGGGGTACCCGCATCTGTGCCGTGTTTGGATGTTATAATGATCGCCATTCTTCCGAGAAATAGACAGTGAAAGATTATATTTCTAATACTAAACTAGAAAAAGGCGAACATTATTACATCCAAACACGGCACAAGGATCTTTTCTCCCATCACAGTCTTATTTTAAGAAAACTTTAAGAAAAAATGTCCCGAAAAGCGCTCGAAAATACAAATGAAATGTGCTCATGCCCCCCTGGGCATCCTATAATACTCCTTAAGTCGAATTAATTCAATATGGCCGCCGTATCGGTAAAAAGGCCTGTTATAAACAGGGTGTTTCATGCACGATCGGGTAATAAAATTGAGGGAATTGTCCTAAACAGGGTATTTATTTTAAGAATTTTTTGCCCTAAACAGGGTCAGGCTTTCAAACCCTCAGCGGCTAGTATTGGTTGAGGACCCTTCCCCCCCTCCAGGGGATTACACTAAGCGTAATTAGGACTGCGTTCGCACTCTAAGTACTTTCCAGGACAAAGGAACGCTCATCACTCCTTCCCAGGTCCTCTCAACTTTCCAAGATGGCGGCCAAGTCAAGTTTACCATTAGTACCGCCCGGGATGCCAAAATTCTCTACCCGTGACCTCTACGTTAAGTCAAACACCTTTTCCTCCATTGACAGTTGCATCAACTGAATACATAGCTGGACCGCGCACCTTGCGATCCAACACACAAATAGGACAATTGCACGATGACGATATTTGACTACAACTACCAGAATTCATTTCGGTTTTGCTTTGTTATTTAAATTTCTCAATCCCACTGAGGATTAAAGAACAATAGCCTTAATTTGCACGAGAAAACAACAAACTCAAGGATTCTGGTAGTTGTAGTAAAATGACGTCATAGTGCAATTGTCCTATTCCGTGCCTTCAGGCATTCCAACACCAAACAAATCTTGGTTTTCTGTACCAGACACCGAATCGGCCTTTTCTCACTTCGTTTAAGTGCTGTTCTCATTGCAAGTACAGTTTTTGGCAGAAACGCGGGCTCGTTTCCCGTACAGCGGCTGGTAATAAAGCCTATCCCCTCATCCCCAGGGCTTTTCCAAGGATTCGAGGTTGTTTTTCTTCTGGGCCAAGAGGTCAAGGTGATCCGTCGCTATTGAGAAAGAGAATTTTGATCATTAACTCTTTAACCTGAGAGTGACCAACATGGATTTTCTCCATATAATATCAACACATGATCAAGATAAAAGGTTACAAGAATTAATTAAATGAACACCAAAGGAAAAGTGTTTTGATCCTTGATCAAATTCTCTCAACTTGTTATCTCGGGAAATGTATGGAGATCAGTTTGGAGAATTTTTAAGTAACTTAAAGATGAGGGTCTTGTTTGTCAAAGTCGTATTGTGCATCCCATAATTTATGTAGTCATGTGAGAGGAAGATGAAAAGGGCGCACCTGTTGGAAAAACGTGCAGTTCTTCTCTGTCAAGTCTTTTTTCGCGGAGCGGGAAAGAAACTCTCTGGCATTCGTGGTAAGGGTGAGTAAACCTATTAATGACTGGTTTAGGACGAAATTTTTATCCGGAAAATGCAATAAATCTTGTTAAGTAAGAGCCACGCCCTTAAAATTATCTTTTTTCTGAACATGGCTATCTCTTTTTCCTCTTCTCCAAAAAGGGCCTTGGGTTCAGCTCAGCAAAAAAACGCGCAAAAAATAAATGAGATCGTTTCTTTCATTAACAGACTACATTAGTACTTACTTTTGGGTTGATCACGAAGTATGTTTCATTCATGAAACAAGCAATAAGTTTATGTAAGCTTAAGCAGCCTTCAAATTATTTGCCGTGCTCTTAACATTGCCAACTAGTCTTCAATCGGCCAAGGAAAAAAGTGTTTAAACGATCCAAGATTTTGTTATTTTCTTAAATATACAATTTTAGGTTGTGTATCAAGTATGTCTCATTCAGGGTGGGTTAAAATTGTTTTTCGTTTTGCTTGTTAGGAACCGCAGTTCTTGCCGTTAGGTGATCAAATTCGCCACCTAATCGATTTCACAAAACCGATAAAAAAAATCTAGGCGTCAATAAATAAGAAAAGTTATCGAGTCTGTAACCCTATTTTAACGATTCACTAGCAGTTCTGGTTCTAGTGAGATGGAATATAATTTTCTTACCTTTCCCTTGTGACAACTTTTTGGGGCTAAGGTTGTTAACTGCATTTGACACCCATTCCATCAAAATTTACGCAATAGGCCATTTGCACTTTCAATGTGACATTTTTTTTTTATGAAAATGAAAGTTACATGATTTTGCCTTCGAAAAACGATTAGTGGGTCATATCTTACACAAAATAATAGTGATTTAATTTTTCAAACCCGCACCGTTTTCTTAAAATGAGTAAGTTCGTAGCTGGTCACGTGACCAATTTTTAAAAAAAAAAAAATTATAAATTACCTCTTCCTGAACAGAAATTTTGCACTTAAGGTTCAAGGAAAATGTTGAAAAAATGATGTGGTAACATTTACAGCACATCTGAGTGTAACTAACAAACGCTTAACAAGATATAAGCAAAAAATAGTTTCGGCCGCAATGTTGGAGGGCAAGAGTATGCCCTCCAACATGGCCACCGATACATATCATACTACTTTGTTGAAAAATAAAAAGTGCCATAAAATATCTCTCTTAAATGTATTTCCTTATGTGCTCTGTCAATTTTTGGCATCAGCAAGATTCCAACTCATTGTTTAAGGAAGCATTGGTCATGGGACCTCTTACTGCAAGTGGCCTATTACATTAAAGGAATCACTATTCAAAAAGACAGATCTATAACTTAGCACGCAGTACAGTAAACACTTCACTGCAGTAATATAACAGAGATAAACCCAAATTGCCAAAGAAAAATCTTTAACCAGACCCAATCATAGATCATAAATTATGCCTAATTCTTCCAAGGAAAATACAACAAGTAAGCAGGGAATCAAACAGCTTAGGGATTTCTTTTGGATTTATTTGTCTTCTATTTTATTATGAAAGTACCCAGGGGCCATGTTCCCCAGCCCCCAGCTCTTAATGACAGCCCTGTCTTGAATATTTTATTTATTTTCACACATTTATTATTTTAGTTTTGCTTAATAAAATATAGCTTCACCCGATACTTAATTAATAATTTATTATGCCCCTCTCCTCATAAAAAACCTTCACTGTCTAACAGATTATTCATTGTTTATATTGTGCTCAACAGGTTTACCAGGAATCAGGAATGACATGTCTCATCAGGTACAGTAATAAGCAAAGCACAACAGCACAAATGGCAGATTACTACCAATATAAATTCTGATAAAACAATTTTAAAACTTACATGAAAAGCACACTTGCTTTTAAGAGGACATTCTGAAAGACAAAAAAAAACATAATATGGTCACCATTGTTTATGCAATAACTTATAATTATAATATTTTACTTCTGAAAAACAATGTTTTAGATTACATCCTTCCATTCCTTTTCCTAAAATTAATACTGCCATGTCTATATTAATCTAAATTATTTTAAAAACACACACACAAAAGTATTTAAACAATAAAATATTATGAAAATCTTTATTGTTATACAGTACACCAACTTAAATTGTAACATGGATATTTCTGCTTCGATTCTTTAAGAGGGCAAAAAGAGAATCACAAAAAGAAAAGGCAACCAGGTGGATCCTGGCAGAAGAAGATCAGCCAGGTCTTGAGTTAAGAGTTATTAATGAAAAAATTGGTAAGTTCCACTTGATAGATTAACAATAATAATAATATATTACTATATATAATATATCGAAACACATTGGTTTATTTGCAAAGAAAATCAATTACTTTTTTCATGAAAGAAGAAGCAACTATTAAGTTTTAAAAATGTCGAAAACAAAAAATATATCTTAAAAACATTTAAGTGAAAGTTGATGTGATAAGATATGTTTTCTAATTCATCAATTAAGAGAACCAATGGATTCATGTTAAACACTAGCCAAAGCATAACACTATTTAGTTATTTAGTGTTTTGATGCAATATTTTGTCATAATGATGTATAATGACTAATAAAGTCTTTTTTTAATTAGTGAAGACTAACTGATCAATACTTAATTTGACAATTTTATTTGCACATGCCATTAATTACCCTCCACAAGTATTGGATATAAGTTGTGTAGGCACAAGCAATTATTATCTGTTTGACAATGTGTTGCTTTTATCTGCAAAACTCTATTATAACCACTTTTGCTTTGTAAAATTATATAGGAAGAGGAGTCTTTGCAACCGAACCCTTCAAAAAGGGGGATTTCCTCCTACAGTATAGGGGAGAGAGAATAACTGGCAGTGAAGGGGAGCACAGGGAAAAGAACTATCCAGATGAAGCTGGCAATTTTTTATACTTTTTTCAAGATCTTCAAGGAACTTATTGGTAGGTATTGTAATGCACATCCTTGGAAACCCAAGGGCAGTTGGTGGGACAACAGAATGTTCGTGGTGAGAGTTTACTATAAAATCGGGAACAGCCTCTGGGCACTAATTACTCTTACCAAACCAGTTCCAGAAGGGTTTGAATTGCATGCTTCTGATTGGGCAGAAAAATTGGCCACGAGTTTGTTTTCACAAAATGCTAATGAGCGAGGCTTTGCGACGTGGACTGTCATCGTCAAAACAGACCTCTGAAAACAAACCTCTAGGACTTGAAGGTTCACAAAGTCTTTGCCGTCTTTTCGCTTCACACTAAGGATAAACTCGCAGAGATATCATTTAATTCTTTGGCTTTGATGTCTTCAGCATTTCTTTGTTTGTGTTTTTATCTCAGAAATTCAATGAGTACCTTCACATCTCTCATCATTTTAACCCTTGCATTTTTGTTTTGTTGTTTGATAATATAGTCGTAAATTGACTTTTCTTAATGCTCAAATCTCGTGGATCCCTGAGCCATTGTTAATGGTACAAATGTTTTCTTGCTATGGAGCTTTGCACGCAAGCAACTTAAATGAAATCAGTGGTATGTTGAAAACAAGTCTCCTGATTGGACGTAAAGGTTTACACATGTGTGAGAAAACCATCTCGCTTGCTGTGACTTGCTATCAGAATTTTTAAAGTAGGTTTTCATATGAAGAAAACTGTAGCCTGCATAACAGGCGCTTTATGAGCCAAGCGGGGCGAACATGATATTTCGCTCAGAGCGCGACACGAGCGTGGAGCGCGAGACGAGGGAAAGGGAAAAATAAAGCTTTATTTACTTTTGCTTTATTGCTTTTTTGCTTTTGCTTTATTTTTCTCTTTCCCTCGTCTCGTGCTTCGCGCTCGTGTGGCGCTCCACGCAAAATATCACGTTCGCCCCACTTGGCTCATAAAGCGCCTGTCATGCAGGCTATGAAAACTGTGAGTAAATCTCAGTATGTATATAATATTACACCAGTGTCACCCGGCTGTTCCTCTTTGCTAATTGACCAGAAAAACATTTTTCTGGCCAATCAGAAGCAGGCAATTCAAACCTTCCTGGAACTGGTTCAGTAAGACTAAGTGCCCAGGCCGGGGCTGTTCTGGATTGTGTAGTAAACTTCCATCATCATGAACGTTCTATCGTCCAGGCTAACTACCCCTGGGTTTCAAGGATGTGTAATGTACTGCGAGAGCAGTACAATATTAATAAATAAAAAGTAACAATAATAACAAAATCACCAAGTTTTTACAGACTGAAAGTAAGATTTTTTTGTGAAAGCTTAAGCACAAGAGTACAGTAATTCGAAATTTGTTTTCATTTGCTCAGACATTTATCTTCAGAATTGCAAGGTTTGAACTATATAGATCGTTTTCACTGTCACGCAACAAAAAAATAAATTGGAAACCGTCCAGTGGAAGAAGCCAAGAAAATGACATGTTACAAAAGACTAATATATAAACAATTTGTTCAAGTCTCAGGTCTTTTTTTTAATTTGTGGCCCACAGTTTCTGACTTATTTGCCGAAACGTTTCACGCACCCTTGAAGAGCTTTGTATGGAGACGCCATATTGGTGTACCGTTTTCGTCCACCAATATGGCCGCCGGAAATCAACAAAACATCTGGAGCTCACTTTTTCTATAAAAGCTCTTTCTTTTCACTCGAGTACCAGCCTACGTGCGCATAAACATAACTTGTGATACTTGAAATGGTGATACTGCTGAAAATCAAGAGGAGAGACTTTTTTCAACGAGACAGCATTCCTGTTTTGCTGCCACGCACTGTGAAAACTCGGCAGTTGGTATTGCTGTCTTTTCGATATTAAACATGCTTTTCTTTTCACTCGAGAACCAGCCTACGTGCGCATAAACATATCTTGAAATACTTGAAATGGTTATACTGCTGAAAATCAAGAGGAGAGACTTTTTTCAACGCGACAGCATTCCTGTTTTGGTGTCACGCACTGTGAAAACTCAGAAGTTGGTATTGCTGTATTTTCGAAATGAAACATGCTACGGGAATGGAAACTTGAACAAAGATTTATTTTTTGTTTATCTTCAACCTAGTCTAAATAAGAATTCGTAAAACCTTGCTGTTTTGACTTAACAGTTTGATGACGTCACTGTGAAAACCATCTATTGAACTAGGTCATGTGAAGAGAATCACATTTATTGCAATTCCTAGCTCCACAGTCATCCACAAAAAGTGAAAAATTACAGCTAAAAAAATAAGTAGATTCCAGCCAAGCTGTGGCTTAACTCATTATATGCCCAGGACTTTTCACGTTTTCGAGTGATTTTCTACATACAAACAACCCATAGGATTTCGTGACTTCGTATTTGGAGTTACCAAGGAAAGCGGCGCTGTTCTGATACACTGAAGGCTCGAGTTTTTTGAAAACGTCATTCTCACATCAGTAATTTTGCTTCATTGAGCTGTAATAACGGCTGAAGTTTGGTTTGTATGCAGTTTTTGGTAAGTTTACAGTCATTTTTCATCTTAATTTAGTGGCTGCCTGATGAGCATCATTAAGCACATGACGGTAGCAAAGATTCCACTTTCTCAAAGAAGCGAGTAAGGTGATGTACTTTCTTTGCAAACTTGGCCTGTTTCTCGTTGAACTGGAAAAATGGCCGCTCCAAAACGAAGTCACTTTATTTTAGGACTTGACCACTGATGAATTTCTTGACATACTGCATATTTAGGAATTTGTGACTACTGAGAGTTACAACAAGTGTGAAATTTCCATGGTAGGTCAGAGTGGCTTTACGGACTTAGTATAAATTAATATCAAAAAAGTGGAGGAAGGAATGGCTGCTGTCAAAAATTCTGGCTATTTCCCGGCACAAAACACAGTTGTGATGTTGAAAATTGATGTAAAGGCAGGATGCACTAGAACAAAAGGCTGTAGCTTGGCCCTGGTAAATGAATAAGAGCAAAAAAATCGCTTCTAAGCTAGAAAAAGGATTGAATTTTACTGTGAATGTTGACTTTTGGTTCTGCAACGATAATTTCTGTAAAAAACCTGAAGGCAAAAAACCTGATTTTTCTTGTTTTTCTACGATGTCAAAAACGGTCATTTTTGTCCTTGTCCAAATTCAAAAGGTAATCATTTGCAAAAAGTGCCGACTTTTTTGCATTTATTGGATACCCCAATGCTAACAACTGACAGCTAGTTAAGGCAATGTTCGCACGATTGAGAAAGTTGCATTGCGACGTGTTGTTGCAACTTGTTGCCTAGAGTGCTCCCACATTAAAAATCATATCTACATCACAGGCAGGAGCAGGAACAGATGAATGTGCAGATTTGGGTTAAATCCATTTGAAAGTGAAGTCACAACAACTACTTCATGTATAAAGCATTGAAACAGTCCAGGGGCCAAATCACAATCTAAAGAGCATTTACCCCACGAGGGTCTTTACGTACGATTGCCTGTTAAATGGTTAATTGTATACCTAAATGGTTAAAACTTTTATAATTTCATAAAGAATTTACAATTTACAATAAATTGAAATAAATGTTTTCCTGTACCATACATTTCTCAATGCATTTTGATAAACATCAATGCAATCGAGAAATAATATAATCTGGCTCCTTTAAGTAATAAATCAATATCCAAAATCACTTTTCAGCATTGACGCCACTTATTCAAGTGGTCTTGGACGGATTGTCAATGACAGCCCTAGGACAAAGGCAAATGCTGTGATGAGGAAAATCATCTTAGACAATAAGACATACCTCTGTCTATTTGCGGCTGAAGAGATCCAAAAAGGCACAGAAATCCGTTATGACTATGGCACAGACGACCTCCCCTGGAGAAAGGAAGGTAAATTAATTTTTATTACATTAATATCACAATGAAGGCAATGGTTTAAGGAATGTAGAGCAGTTGTTTTTTTTTCACTTTCTAGTGAATTTCAATCATTGTGCTTGGTTAGCAATCACAGGAAATTGGTACAACACAATAATTACTGTAGAATTGACAGACTATAGTATTAATGGTGGCTACTAAAATAAATGAAATAACGAGGTTTAGATTTTGCGTGAATGTCTTTTTCTCAATGTAACACTCATAAAATTTTCAGAAATAAGTTTCATCAAATTGGACAAGATTTCATTAGAATATTGCACAAATCGCGAAGCAGTGAGTGCAATATTGGTTTTCAAGTGCAATTTAACACCGAATTCACAAGTCAGGTAATTGATTTTCCTTGAATCGCATAGTTGAATAAAAATAACACAAAAAGAGCAGCACACTCCAGATAGCCATTTCAAAGTCAACTGTCAGAACTGTCATTGCGTTAGCAAATAAGAAGCAAGGTCAGTCACATATGTTTGAACCATAGCTTAATTGACAACTGACACAACTTTATTTGTACCTTGTGCTTGTTTTTACATTTTATTTTCAAACTTCACACTAATCTTAAGGATAAACGGTGGTTTTTCACTGAATTGCCGTTTATCTATAATATCTTTTCTCAATTTCTCTGTGCGCGATTAGATCATATNTTCTGTGTTTTCCCTATTTTAATGCTATGCAAAGTATATGTCACCTTTAAAAAGGCTATGTTTTTCATATGTTTTTACTATTTCTAGGCTATCTAAATTCTAAGCAAACCCTATTCAAAAGCTATTTAATCAACTGTTCCCTGTTCCATTTTACTATGTAAACTCTATTTCAGTCCTATGTGAAGGCTATTTATTTTCTATGATTTTTCTATGAGGTTGACTATGAAGTCTAAAATCTCTTTCCACAAGCTAAGTAAACTGTATGTATAGGCTATGTGGAAACTATGTCATTTCTTCCTTTATTCCTACCTTTAAAAACTGCATAGGTTTTAAGTAGGTTCCGTTTGACTAGCGAAAACATAGCATTTTCGATACAAAAAACATAGTCCTGGCATAGAAACAACATAGGATCTGGGTAAAGCAATGTATGACTCATTAACATAGGTTTTACATAGCTTTGTGACATAGCATTTGCATAGATTCTACACAGTGTCTGATTCTACAAGGGTTGCTGGCGATTTTTTGGGCCATATTCACAGGAATTTCTTGCTTTCCTGTTGTCACGGAGCAAAAGACGTTTTTTATGCCTTTCCAAGAATTTGTAGTTCTGTTCAAAACAAGGAAGAACCTCCAGCTCCCTTTGTAAAACACTTCTGTTTGTTTTTGGCTCTTCAAAAGGTGACAATGGTTTTGAAAACATTTTAAAATGACATTGTAGAAAAACTTTTTTGTGGTAGTTGTGTTAGAATTTGACCATAGTTGTTACGTAGATGCGAAACTATATTACTTTAGCCTTGTTTTCAATTTGCGATTCCATGCTAAATACCTCGCTTTGTTAACCAATCAGAATGCGAGATTTTTTTTCAATTATGTGATTCTATTTAAAATTTCAAAGTTGTCAAATAAAACATTATTCTTCTATTTTTCCATGACCATTCGAATACTGGTGTTTAGTTTTCTGAGTTTTACAGTAACACCTTGGTCCCAAGAACATTTTAATTTGGAGGAACAAACAGTCAAGTTCCATCGATTTGTAATCGCAGCCCGTCAGCATAACAGTTATTCCCCCTCAAGAATCTTTAACAATTGCACGAGACACCAATGCAGTTTGAACTACTACCATCCAGTCGCACTCTCAGATTCAGTGACAATAGAACAGTTCCTGTGAAATGCTGTGGTGCTGAGAAAGAACGAGCTTCACCATCACACTAACTGTCCCTGCTGATGGGAAGAAACTGTAACCACCTTGAGTGACCTTCAAGGATGTTTGAACTCCCAGAGGCCTTGATTGTTGTTCCACCAACAGGAATGGATGGATAAAGTAGGTAAGCTAATTAAAGTCGCTTTAGATTTCTTGCTCTGTTGATTTGTACAAATGAACGGGCAAGATTCAGTGCAAATTAGCAGTCAATTTTTACAAACAAGATACAGAATTTTTCTTTGTGACTTATGAGTTCTGTTTTTTATTTCTTCTTTATCTTAAGCAATGGGTCCGTGCATGCCTACCGAGAGGTCCTACAGCTGAGTGCATGGTGTTGTTGGTTTGGGACTTATTCCATTTCCACTTGACAGAGCCAGTAAAGGAACATTTGCGGCAGCAATACATTGATGCAGCAGTGATTCCCCACTGCTTGACTCCAGTGTTACAGACTTTGGACAAGTGCCTGAAGAGAACATGCGAAGGCACTACCTTTCATGGTTGATATTAGGCCCCTTCGAGTTCACTCCAGCAGGCAAGAGGAAAGCTCCTTCCCGAAACCTGGTCCTCCCCTGTATAAAGCAGGCTTGGAGTGATATTCCTAAAGAGATGGTGAGGTGATCCTTCAAGACTTGTGGCATCTCCAATGTACTTGAAGGAATAGAAGACAATGCCATCTACGACCGTCCTGAAATTGACGGAGAAGATGAGGAGATGAAAGAAGAAATTGACACAGACAGCAAAGTTGATGACGAACGCTGATGACAACAAAGACTTCTGTGAAAACACATTAAATTTAACAAACGGCTCCTTTAGGAGCCACCACATTCTTAAAAGTTAATAACCAACGATTGCATATTGTGTTTCATTAATTTAGCTTGGCTAATATAGTGAATACATCAAGATTTAGTAGAGTTTCCATGTGCTGGAAAAAATTTTGTTTTTAAAACTGTGGGCTATAAGCCATAGACCCCCTTGATCTAGAGCCCAAACTTTAATTAACTTTAAGTTTTAATTTGTGTGAAAATCACACAGCTTACAATCGAGGAAATATTGGTATTACACATTAAAAAAAAAAAACAATATCTAACTACCACAAAATGTATTATTTCCAGATGAATGCCTCAAGCTAAAGCCCAAGAAAGCCACAGAATTGAGCAGTCAAGGTAATTTTTATGCTTGATCAAAAACTTTGTTTTATAAATCTTGATCAACAAATTATGCAGTATAACAAAAACTAATCCCATTTTACAGAGAAAAACAATGAGAAAAACAATGGCAAAGAAGATCACAAGGAGGCCAACAAAAGTAACAATGTAAGTGAAGTGGAATTATAACCAAAACCAATAGTATTTAATGGTGTAATGATCTTTGAGAATGATATGTAAGAATGGCAGAATTACATTTGTCACAAAAAATAAAGTGAAAAGTACTTCCAACAAAGGGACATCTCTTAAAGCTGTGAACTTAGATCAACTGCAAAGTGAGGGAGACAAATGATCTTGGTACTGACAAATGACCTTTTCACTGGTATTTTCATTGATTGCTACAATATTTTGATTGCTGCATTCTAATTTTAAGAGAAATAAACACAAACCTTAAAATGCTTCAATTTCCTAATTAGCTTTTATTAACTTCTCACTTTACAAAATGGCACACACTCGTTTAATGTGTTTATATTATTGCAACGTCTCGGATGATAACGTAACACCACTTGTAATTTTCCCAATTTCTTCATTTAATGTTGCTATCAAATTCTCAAAGGGGCAGGGCTGCAAAATAACAGTAACTGATCATTGTCTAGAGAATTTTGTTATCGTTTAAATCATCTTACTGGTAAGAAATTAAAAAAATAAATTGTTGTGCAAATCTTACTTTGTGTAAGGACAATCTCAAAGTCATTAAACAACATTGAAGTTTCTTCAGATTAGCCCAGTTATGTCATCTGTTTTACCTGGAAGGGGAGGGGAGGGGGGGGGGGTAAAGGGTTAAAGATGTTACTGCTAAATTGTAAAGAAAAGTGGTCGTCTGCCAGTACTTTACTGTTTTCTAAAGTTAAGGTACAGGATGTTTTTAAATTTTTTTTTTTTTTGGTATACATTATAATTACTGTACTGGTGTCATGGTAAAACTTACAGTTGACCTACCTAATTAAAATGAAAACATTTACAGTAGTGATGCATTACCACTTTAGGATAATTCAAAGAAACTACAGTCTGGTGCTGCAACTGTGAGACAAGTCAGCGACACTGAAGGTTTGTTTAAAACTATCATCAATAATAAATTCCTGCATTAAGCACCTTCATGTATAAGCTCCTCCAAATATAAGTCCCTAAAAACTTAATGTAACGCAAAAAAACCTTAATAATATAGGGCCAGCAACAATTAATAAAGCTTACTATGACCGTTAATTCTTACATATATTTATAGGTTAATGTTGTTTTAATTTATACTGACCTTCAAGTTTTATTGAAATAATTAGTGGAGGAGACAGCACGGCTGAATCACAAAAAACAAAACCCGCAATGTTCTGGTGCTAACAGCAGCAATGTAAGTTGAAGTAAGAGTTAAAACATTTATGTTTTGGCAGGTTAACCTTCTCTCTGTTATGTTTCTTTTTTAATGCATTGAAAGATATAAACAAAGGACCAGTCTTAGGGCAAAACATTTTAGTGTGATTTTATAATTATGTGTTGATTATTCATGAATTAGGGGTGGGAAACAAAGCAAATTGAGAAAAAACTAACCTATACACATGTTAATGTATAATCACAAAAATTGTGGAAACGGTGATTCTTTCCAATGAGGAGTTTCAAATTGTTCTGAAATAGACAGCTGACTGTGGAAAGGTAGGCAGCTGTGACAAAACATGGAGGGCTGCAAGGTCCCTGAAGAGTAGCCGGTGACATACAATCAAGTAGCTATATATATAGCCGGCAGAACTCCAGCAGTCACCAGCTTGTTTTGAAACCACTGGATATAATATTTTTTTTAATTGGTCTTCTCCCAGTTCTTAACTGTTTTCTACAGTTAAGGTACAGGATGTTTTTTTAATAATTATTATTTTTCTGGTATAAATTATAATTTAACTACTGTAATGGTAAAACTGTACAGTTGACCTACCTAATTAAAATGTTAATTAACATTTAGTGATGCATTACCACTTTAGGATAATTCAAAGAAACTACAGTCTGGTGCTGCAACTGTGAGACAAGTCACCGACACTGAAGGTTTGTTTAAAACTATCATCTATAATTAAGCCCCTTCATGTATAAGCTCCTCCAAATAGTTTTAATGAATAAAAAACCTCAATACAGGAGCAGCAACATTTAATAATGCTTATTATGACTGTTAATTCTTATATACATTTATAGGTATTTAATGTTGGTTTAATTTATACTGACAATCAAGTTTTATTGAAATAATTAGTGGAGGAGACAGCAAAGCAGAACCACAAAGAACAAAACCAATGTGCTGGTGCTAATAGCAGCAATGTAAGTTGAAATAAGAGTTAAAGCATTTATTTTTTTGGCAGGTTAACCTTTTTTCTACTATTCTAGGTTTCTTGCATAAAAATATAATTTTCTGCATTTAAAATGGTTACTCAAGTTGTCACTACTATTATTTAGTATAAATTAGCAATTAATGAATTCGGCTGTTGTAGGATATGAAGAATTAAGCAGATAAAACCCTCTGAGATCTGCTTAATTTTTTATATCCTACAAAAGCCGAATTCATTAATTGCTTTATGATTCATTCAAAATAATTCTTAGTTTAAAAACATAGCTAAAACATGCTAAATAATATGCCTGCATTGATGTTAAGTTCATCTTCGATAGTGTGCCTTTAGGTTTAAGTCCAGCTCCGCAAATATTCTCCAAATAGCAGATGTCGCCCTTGGAGTTGTCTTCTTGCTGTTTTTGCAATGTTTTTAGCTATTTTTTCGGCTAGTTGCAGCTGTAGTTCTTACTCTTGAAACGAGTGAAGTGCCATCTTTATTTTCACAACCAAAACAACTCAGCCTCGTTCCCATGGTGTCTTAACCTGTAAGAACGCTGCATTCTTGACGTCATTTCAACACTAAACACAAATTTGGTCATCAGAAACTGGTTATGGTGAATTATGCGTGTGCCTTTAGCCAATCACAATTAGGGAAATATTTTGAATGAATAATAATATAATTTATACTCACTGATGGTAAAACTATGTACAGTTGACCTAACCAAATTAAATTAAAAAAAATTAACTTTTGCATTACACTTTAGCATAATACAAAGCAACTAAAGTCTGGTGCTGCAACTATGAGACATGTCATTGACACTGAAGGTTTGTTTAAAACAATCATCTTCAATAATAATTCTTACTTTTACACGTCTCTGTTTCTTTTTGTGGCTGTTTCTAAAAGCTGGCTTGTCCATAGGAATAACGACTCTTAACTTATAGCTACTGTTGGATATAAACTAAATTAATAGAATTTATATTAATAGTAATTGCGGGCGACAAGAGGAGCTACGATCCTAATCTCCAAGTTGTAATTATGCATGCGTTGCATGTATGTCCCTAGCATTCACTTGGACTTCCACTAAGAATGAATGGAATACACAGAAATATTTTAATGATGCACAAAGAAATGACTTGTCTATATGAGTGGGTTTTGCAAATATCAGTTGAAACAATTCAGATCAGGACAGATCTCAGTGCACGTAGACAAAATATGCCTGGTTGGTTGGATGTATTGATCACTCTTTAGTCAACACAATACCAGTAGAGCACCAATCAGAAGCTGTGTTTGTGGACAGACACAGGTTTTCAAAATTGTCGGTTTGCAAACAAGCATTTCCTTCTTTCCCCTCCTCCCCCTTCATTCCTCTTTTTTGGTTTTGTCCCAACTTTCTCGATGAAACGCTTGCTACGCAGGCCAAAATTAAGCCATAAATTTTATCCAGCCAACAACAGCCATTATTTCTTATTCTACCAGTATATACATTTAGGTAAAAAAAATTGTTGGTTTAACTTATACTGACATTTAAGTTTTATTGAAATAATTAGTGGAGGAGACAGCACTGCAGAATCACAAAGAAAAAACCCAATGTGCTGGTGCTAACAGCAGCAATGTAAGTTGAAATAAGAGTTTAGGTGTCTTGACCCAGTATTTTTATAGCCCTCTCCATCTTTGAATCTCTTATACTTAAACAAATCGATCTGTGTTGTAAAACGATTACGACACAATGGATTACACTTACACTAAACTTTATTTTGGTATTATTTTTGGGGGCGATCAGAATAAATGTCATGCAGCAATGATGTCACAATGTTTTAGCTCTAAATCGAATTTCAGCCATGCATGTTCGGCATTTTCTTTTGAAATGCTTTACGCTACGTCTTCTTTAGGTAAATGTCTTCTGCTGTGCAAAGTTTCACAAAAATCTGTAAGAGGAATTTTGAGATATCTTGGAATTTCTATAAAAACGGTATAAATTATACATGCACTGAAGACTGGACTTAATGCAGACAAATTTGCTACTCTTCGGTTTTCTCACTTATTCATTTTGCAAATGACCCTTAAACACTCTAGACGCCGCTGAAAGCAAGTAAACTTGCGTGATTTCGAAAAACATTGAATCAGGGTAAAACGCAATGCAGAGCTCTTTTTGTAATTTCTAAGGCTCCTTTCATGAAAACAGCAATTCAAACAAAATTCGTCGATAGATTTTATTAAAACTTTTTTAGTACATCAATAATTATTAATCAGTGTACTATCAAATCCCCGAATTTCGTGGTGATTAAATAATAGGTAATTAAATAATAAAAGTTAATAAACAAAAAGAATAATAATTATTACAAAAGCAATAAAATAAATGGAAATTTGAATGAGTTTCTCTTGCTCTTTACATTTGAGTTTAATAACTTGTTTTTAACGGATCTTGTTATATAGAATGGAGAGCAAATACAAGCAGCCACAAGAAAAAGACAGACTGTTGCTGTGACAACAGGTTTGAGTTATATTTTAACACCTTAAATTTTAAATTTCTATTTAACTTCAAATTCTCAACATAAGGGATTATTATTATTATCAATAGATTTGCCACAAAAAAAAGTCGGCCTCACTGTAAGTTTAAGCAAGCAGAGCAAAGTGCATGAGTGAGTGATAGGTCTCCGGCTCAATATAAAATTAGACAAAGGACTGTTACTGACATTTCGAGTTGCATTACATTATATGCGTCTGGACAATTATCACTTGTTTATGTCATGCGACATGGTTGAACTCGAACTCTCTTCTACATGGAACTTGACTTGAGACTTGTCAAGATCAAATTATCCCGATAGTTTTGTTTTGTTAAGAGCTTATACAGTCTTGGAGTAGAAGTCACAAGGACTTTTTTGAAAAGTCTGATATTTATCATAGCAATACACGTACTTCATACATCATTTTTATGGACAATTATTTTCTGTTTGGAGAGCTCAAAAATGAAACATTAAACCAAAAAATATACAGAATTGTACATTGTGTATAGCACCATATTTTATAGCTGTTGTTCATCAAATGATCTTAGGGTGAATCTGAATTAGCAGTTCCGTATTAAATAATTATCATTCAATATCGTTTAAAACCTATTGTAAGTAAACAGCAGGTCAAAAAGGTTCTATAACCCTAAAAAAAAAAGAGTCTTGCACTCCAGCATTAATCAGTCAAAAATTAAGCTACGATATAAATTTGGTTACTTTAATACAACACGTAATGTTAGGTTACTGCGAAAAAAGATGGCAAAACAATATCTATAAAAACTATACTATAGGTAGTAAAGTACAGGAAATATTGGGAGTGGATTGTTCTTTAATTATTCAAAAATCTAATACTAACTGATGGACTTTGTTCATTTATTTTATTTTCTGTTCTATGCAGTGATGAGGTCATCAAACCAGCATGAAAAGACCAGCAGTGCCCATGATACTCATGTAAGTTTAAAAAATAAATAAATTTCATTTGTCCATACAAGGTTATAATTATAATAACATAACATAAGGCTGCAAGGGAAAAACTCAAATTTAAAATGTGTAACTATATACTCTGGACCTAGCTAAAGTCACCACCAATGAAATATCTAAACTGCTCAGACAATTATTACCCGACTTAAGGATGGCGCCCACTAATGGGAAGTATTTTTTCCCAGGTAATGACTATCTGAGACAAGTAGATCATATCAGGGGCTATTGAAATCCAAAAAGAAAACTGGGGGTAACCTCGCATTTTTCAGAGATAACTGAGCTTCAATATGGAGAAAAATGCTGAATAGGCATTTTTTAGAAAAATGATAAAAAGTTATTTTGTCCCAAAATTTCAGAGTGTACATGTGAACTGGCACAAATGCAATGATAATTGTAACAAGGTTTCAAAATAAGCAACAAATGATAACATAACAACTGCTCTTTATACGTCCTTTTTTTAAACACCAGGACAACTAGGAAGTTATCAGCAGTTACCCCTCTCCACGCATTTGCCTTAAAAATGGTGTTAATGACATTTTCCCCCGAAACAAAAATTGATCGTTTGCTGAGTAGGCTTATTACTTTCATTTGGGAAGATAAAAAGTAGGGGTTACCACGCATTTTTAGAACTTAAATTGGTTGGTTTTGACCTTAACTTAATCGCTTTGGGGGTTATTTACAATTTTTCCCATTCCCTCCCTGGTCAGTTTTACTATTGCTTCACTCAACGCGGAGTACTCTGGGATATCCAAAATGGCTAACAGTCATAGAGAACAAAAACCCACCGAGGAGAGCAAAACCAGAAAGTAAAGCATGACATTTCATGGACTCTAAGGAAAACACATACTATTTCATTCAACTGGAGCTTGTCCGTCTCAAAAATTTAACAAACATTTTTGGAGAAGAGCAATCTTGAAGTTATTAAAGATTACTTCCAGTGCATATAGAGTAGATGGCGAGCTCAAGAGCCAAGGCTGGCGCTGTAAACAAACTACTATACTGTATACGTAGTGGAAAATAGTCGACAGGGACTCTTAGACAGGTACCTCTTCAATCGTTTGCTTACCTGTATATGTCATCAAGATTTTTTGAACTGTAGATATAATATGGATTGTAAACCTTCTATTGTTTTTTATCATTTTACCGGGTACCTCGATCAAATATGTTATTAAACTTGCATACGTTCAATGAGCTTATATATCTGTGGTTTGCACTATCTCTTTCGGGTTTGCCACAAGTGTCATATGACTTAAATGATTTGCATAGACTCAAGTTCGATACATGAGCTCTCTTTTAAAAATGCTGAATACTGCGAAAATAGTTGTACCAAATGTGTTTATGTACCCTCATATATAAACTGGGCTAAGGATCATTTTACATGTTATTTTCGTTTTGATTTTTTTTACTGTAGCACGTCATCAGTTCTGTGTCATGATCATTCACTTTTTTTCGTTCCTAAATGTTAATTTTAAACTTAACAACTGTGTCTGTTAAACCTACATTTGTAAGAAAGTCTTAGAATGAAAATATTTTATTTTACCTTCCATCTTTAGTTTGTAAACAGCCAAATGGCAGCTATGTCTAAATGTCCAGATTATGCATGTGTGACATGAAATTGAACCTTAAGAAATACTATCTACACGACAAGCTACCCAATGAGTCAATAATTTCAATGCTTAGTAATGCCAAAATGCTTAAATAACAATGATAATAGTAAAAAGCATAACAATTTTTTACGATTTTTTCCACGATGAAAGCTTTTCCTTTGCGGTCCGCAACTATTTGTGAAGCTGTGATCTAAGCGATCCAAGCAATTTTGTGATAGCTTTTTTCTTGTTTGTTCAACAAATAAAAGTCTCAGACTCTCAATATAAAAGGGACATCTGTATGTACTCGAACGCTTTAACTCTGTGTTCTGGTGACCAGAAAATCTTACAAAATTAAAGAAACAATTGGGAAAGTGTTTATAGCCGTTTAGCTGATGAAATGCGAAGGATGCAAGTGAAAGGTAAGCTTGCAGTTTCTCGATTAAGCGGAGGACTTGGAGCTATTTTCCTTCTGATTTACTAATCCTTACCTATTAATACCCAAGCTCCAAACGTAACATCTTGAAGCCATAACTTTTGATGTTTAAGAATTGACTTTTGTTTGACTATATGAAATGTTCGGTCAGATTGATCATACAGCAGAAATAGCAACATGCGCATACTTCTTCGGTTTTCAAAGAACTGACAATGTAAATAGAAATTATTTTTCACCTGTTAAAAACAACGCATCTTTTCCACAAGAAATAACTAGAACCTCCCAGACTTACAGGAGACAAAACCAGTCCGTGTGTCCTGCGTGTTGCGCATTTCTTTCTTGGAATGCGCAGAAACTGTGCGCAGTAACAATAATAGTGCATGGGCACCGTCCTTAAATCATGAGCAGTCAAAAAGAAAAATTTAAGTACCATCTTTAATTTACTGTTAATGTTACTTCTTCAGAAATCTTTGTAGTTATCACATCAGTTTTATCCATAAGTATTGTCTTGAACAGCATTTATATCTGCTTATTTTTTAGTTTGAGAAATTCTTAACTTGAATTTTGCCATTGCCCCAAGGGTGTGTTCCACTGATTAAGGAAGTCACTTGTGTTGGATCAATAGCACATCACAAGGACCCAACAAATCCACTTTGGGAAAGGATTCACTGATTCATTTGAATGTATTATGATCCAAAGTAATCTTCTGGATCATCACATTTAGACCTGAGTTAAGAATCACAGAAAACCCTAAATATTTTTTGAAATGCTACCTACACTGGGCCACATAAATAATAAAAAACTACCTATTTTTTGTACCAGGATGAGATGCATCTGCAGTCTCTTAAAGCATCAAAATGAAATACTCTCATGGATAGAGGTTTGAGTACTCATATGACAGTTTCATTAAATGAAATTAATTTTAGGCTAAAAGTTAAACCAGCTGGAGATATTAATTGCAGTTCTTTTTTTGAAGATACATGCACAGGACATTATTTGAACTATTGTATAGCATCACTTTCATTGCCTGCTGCCTTACTATGAAATTTGTCTTTATCGATAATAAACAAGTTACAAAAGCTACGGTATGTCCTGTTAAGCTAAGAACATAACTAATGGCTTTGGTTTTTTACTATATACATAAGTATAATACAGGGACACTGTTTCCTGTTCTCTCCAGTGTTCAAATGTTTGCCTGCAAGACATCTTCTCACCAGCTAGGCTTTCTCGGTCAATGCATTTTGGTGATGGTATTCCAGGGGCGGATCCAGCAGTGGGGGGGGATGGATTGGGTGGCTAGCCAACCAAAATATACGTGAAAAACATACAAAAATAAGTGGGTCCCAAAGAAATCGCGAAAAGTACCAGTGACAATATCTTTCCCTGACATAATCTGCTCAGGAAAAGAGGGCCCTTAATAAGCTCTGTGCTCTTATTCCTCTAAGTCTAAAGAGGCCACACTAGAACTCAGGCGCTGATCATGCACACCGCTTTGAAACCTTTTATGAAAATCGGTCCGATTATTCATAAATAAATATGCATGCCCCCAGAACCCCTAGAAGCTTGCACCTTTGGCACTCATTTAGGATATTTATTTCTAATGCCTGGAACTTGCTCAATTACTGCATCAGAAGTATACAATGTAGTGAGGACATCTAATATGAGACTTTGCAATGTTACAGTCTCCAATTCATCCTTCTTAAACCGCTATTGTTTTGGGACAAATGTAGGACAACTTGAAATAAATCAATGTATAGTTTGGTGGCCGATTGGTATCAGAGCCATCCCCCATTAAAAAATCCCTGATCCGCCTCTGTATCCCAGATTAACGGTTGGACAATTGCGAAGTACGCTTACATGATAAGCTTTTATTTTTAACAATTAAGCAATAATAAGGCCCTTCATTCCCCTTCCAAGACCATTTAGAAGCCAAATTTCAGGAGTTAATTGCTTACTTTACAATAGAAATGTGACCGTAAAATGCAAAAGAGTGAGGTTTCCATGGTGGATAAGGCCTTGATAAAGAAAATAATGTATTTACAAGCTTTGTCTTATATGAAATAACATTAGAGTTTTTTAAACAGTACTAACCAGACATTAATTAGACTTTTACTTGTTTATCATTTATATTTAGTATTTGGAAAAAAAAGGCAAAAACAAAGTTATGGACATGACAGTGATGCTGTATCAAGTGACTATGAGGATGTAAGTTTAATTGTTTTGTCATAGTCAATTAGCTCATTTACATAGCTGTGTAATATGTATGCAGTAAACACTGAACCCCCCCCCCCCCCCCCCCCCCCAACACCCCCCCCAAAAAAACAACAAAAAAAATACAGGGTTTGGGGCCATTTACAAAAACCCCCCTTTTTACTCTTTTCCCTATTCAACGTACGCCGCTTTGTGGGGAGGGGGAAAACAACAAGGGCGGAACTAGACTGATGGTCTATAAAAAGTAGATGAGTATAAAGTATTTACTTTTTTTTTTATAAACAAAGTCACCACTTAAAAATTGCGTATAACATTATACAAACAACCCCCCCCCCCCCCCCCCCCCCACGCCTACATAGACCCATCTAGCAGATAAACAAAAATAGATCTGGTTATGAGGCCATTCTGAAGAATCCCCCTTTTTAACCTTTCACCTGTGAACAGGCTCTCGGTTTGTGGAAAGGGTGAAAAAATCACGAGGGAATCCCGGCTTAGTCAATCAAATGAAACCAAACCAAAATCAATCGAACTCAAACGAAACCCCTTGGTCAGATTGTTGTTCGATTACTTTGGCAATCAAACTTAATCGAACTGGAACTTTTCAGTGAGTTCGATGATTAATCGAACTTGAGAGTTTAATTTGATTACTGCACTCAATCGAACCAACTGAACTCAATCTATGCGATTAGTTTGATTGTTTGGCAGACTAAAAAAAGACTAAACACATCACGTCAATTGAATCGGAAAGGTCTCCCTCTAGTATATGTATTTGAAGCAGTTTGAAAACAAAAATATTTCAATTACCGGTAACCCAGAATTAACTAAAATCTTTATTGTTTAAGTGATTCAAAATCGATAAATTCAAATACTGGCAAGACATGTAAGCACAGGCACCAGATCACGTTTCATGTTGGAAATGTCCAAGTCAATGTCCAAGTTGGGCTTGGCAATGGTCAGTTAGCTGCAGAACTGAATCTCCCATTTTCTTCTTAATAAGAATCTTTTCACCAACACCGACAGCAAAAGAGCACTCGTGATAGCATTTATAACCATCGCTTCCAAAATTGTTTTCATGTTTTCAGTGTTTTCCCTCTGTGACATCTTTGCGTACTCACGTTTGAAATTGAAACCAATACATAACTTATTTGAACGCAACACATTGTTTAAAACCAGATGAAACTGGTTTTATGTTTGATTGTTGAATGCAGTGTTGGACTTTCAATTGTTTATGGTCGATTTAAATTAATACCTTATATTTCACTTGCTTTGTTATTGGCATTAATGTGCATTATTTTTCAAAAACAGAAAGCAAAAGAAGGACAATCCAACAGTAAAGGAAATTCCAATGCAGGTAATCAGTTATAAATGTGTTGTGATTTTAAAAAAATATTGAATGTTTTAAAGTTGATTCTATTTATTGACCTCTATTCCAATTTCATTCTTATTTTTAGAAATGGTTTTTGATTCAGATGAAGACAGTTCTGGGGACATGGACCTAAGCAGCATAGTGAGTGAGACACTGGTAAGCATAATTTGCAGATCATAAATTCTCATTCTTGGCTGTGTATATTGAAAATTTGGATTCCTCAATATATTAACATAAAAATTCATATCTTCAAGCTAATACGGAATTTTCTTTTTATTTTATGAACTATAAGTTAAATTGATAGAAACAGAAAAGCTGATTTTAATACTGAGCTTAAAATAATATTAAATACCTGGTGGAATCAATAACTGTTCCGTCTTCTCAGGCCACCATGTATGCATGAACTATTCTAAAGATAAAACAAACCAATACATCAGTAAAATAATATGACATCACTATTCACGTTACAGCGCTCTTTATAGAATGAATTGCATATGTACACTAAATCTGAGAGCTCAGTGAGTAGTATTTCGTAGTACTTTAGTTCCATATTAAAGGTGGCTAGACTGGATTTTTTGGGGGATATACCGTTTAAGTTTGAGCATTCCACATTCCCATTAAAAAAAGATATCTCAAAAAGGAAACCCCAGCTGTATCAAATAAAGATGGGAACACACAGATCGAGGCTTTGCATAAAATTTTCTTTACACATGATTCCATCTTGGTACCTTAGAGATTTCACAGGAATGGAATCGCTGGTGGATTCGAAGCGTTTTGAAGTACTAGCCGGTGGGGCATTTTACCATCTAAACTGCCAACATACCGGGGGAATGTGACAAACGTTTTTCCAATAAGGTCAAATAAGTGGTCGCTAGCAAGAGCTTTGAATGTTTCATAATCAGTATGAAGACGAAAACCACGCCAGACTCACGTGTTGATTTCGCTGCCGCTTGACGATCACGGTCAATGACAGCCACACCGTACTTACCTAATTCTCGTTGTCTCGTTGTCTTCTACCATTTGTAACTGGATGACTTTAAGGATAAAAAAAAAACATTATTTAGAACAGAACGTATGGACAAAATGCGAATATGAAAATAACATCCTCATAGAATTACCAATAACCTCGTGCGTGTTGTTGTCTGACGCGACCAGTGAGCCAAAGGAAGGAGAGGTACAACTTTTTTTGTCGAAAATAAGTTAAACCGACTTCCAGAAACGCCGATAAAAGAAAAACGAATTCTTCAAAGTTATTTTAGAACATTTGAGGCCAAAATATGTTCCACCGAAAACAAATGCTCGCAATCGCAACAAGTTCGAAGAGATTCTAGTTTCTAAGCTACTAAGTGGGCGGGGCTGGTACTGTCCATCATGCATCACAGCTGTCCCACGAGTTGTAGAGCCAAAAAGTGTACCTGGCAGTTGATTTTTTGTTTTTGTTTTTTTCTGTAAGTTTTTCCTTAGTCTTGGTTCGTCAAAGTAAGAGATATAACCACGCGCTGAATCGAGAACGAACGGTAAAACGATGGGAGAGGGGCGAGGGGAGGAAGAAGTAGAAAAATTACCGGTAAACCCGCCCAGTAACCGACTTTGTCTTGCCGTGGATAACTGGTAATTGACCTTCGCTCAAACATAAACCTCCAAAACAAGTTTTCCTTTGGAAAGAAGCAAGCAAGCTGTTTCTGAAAGAAAAATATTTCTAGGAAAGGAAAAAAATGATTTTTCACGATAACATAACCAAAAATAACTTAGCGCGTGAGACTTAGTTGTGTCTGCAAAACACAATTTTCATTGCGATTTTTGAAAGCGGCCAAGACGTTCGGCTTTCGTTCAAAAAATTCAATTGGAGCCCAATAATATAACGCAATCCAATTTGCGATAGACGAATTCACTCTTGAGTAATGAGTGGAAAGCACAAATAAAAAAATTGACAACAAAAAATCTTTGGCGCTGTTAACGGTTGTCAAACTTGTCACTGACCTTTAAGACTTGACTAAAAGCTAACAGTAGTTGAAGTAGGGAAGTAGGAAATCCGAACACACACAAAAAGAATTTTAGGAGATAAAAATATGCTTATATCTACCGTTTTAACACTAAAATACGTTTAACCATGCTATGCTTAAGGGGTTTTGAACCATATTCTCGGGTGCCCCTGAAGTTTTAGACTGAGGGAGTAGTAACCTGGGAGATCGCTATGCGTAGAAGGTGAGGTAACCCGCTTAGGTGGGGCCAACTATGATATAATCTCTCATTTCAATTTGATCACGTTTACATCAAAGGTGGGGTGACGCCACCTTCCTGGGTCCCCCAACTCTATGTTAACAGGCCCAAATTAAAATTAAAGCGAAAATACCATTCACTTTGCCTCTTCTTGAGACCAAGTGGTTTTCGTTGCCGCTTGACTATCACGGTCAATTTATGGAAGAATGATATGACAGCCACACTGTACTTACCTAATTCTCGTTGTCTCGTTGTCTTCTACCATTTGTAACTGGATGACTTTAAGGATTAAAAAAAACACTATTTGGAACAGACCGTATGGACAAAATGCGAAGATAAAAAATAACATCCTCATAGAATTACCAATAACCTCGTGCATGTTGTCGTCTCAGACGCGACCAGTGAGCCAAAAGGAAGGAGAGGAACAACTTTTTTTGTCGAAAATAAGTTAAACCGACTTCCAGAAACGCCGATAAACTAAAAACGAATTCTTCAAAGTTATTTTAGAACAGTTAAGGCCAGAACACGTTCCACTGAAAAAAAATGCCCGCAATCGCAACAAGTTCGAAGAAATTCCAGTTTCTAGGTTGCTTAAGTGGGCGGGGCTGGTACTGTCCATCATGCATCACAGCTGTCCCACGAGTTGTAGAGCCAAAAAGTGTACGTGGCAGTTGATTTTTTGTTTTTTTTGCTTTTTTTTTCTGTAATTTTTTTCCCCACGCGCTAAATCCAGAACGAACAGTAAAACGATGGGAAAGGGGCGAGGGGAGAAAGTAGTAGAAAAACTAAACTTTGTCCGGCCGTGGATATACCTGATAGTTGACCTTCGCTCAACAACATAAACCTTCAAAGCAAGTTTTGCTTTGGAAGCAAGCAAGCAAGCAAGCTGTTTCTGAAAGAAAAATATTTCTAGGAAAGGAAAAAAATGATTTTTCACAACAACAGTACCGAAAATAACTTCGCGCGTGAGACTTCGTTTGTGTCTGCAAAACACAATTTTCATTGGGATTTATGAGAACGGACAAGAAGTTCGGCAGTTCCGACTATAGGTGGTTTTTCACGTTACGTCATCGCCGCCATGCTGATGGACGGTAAACAAAAGATCGTTCATTAGCTACCTTTGTTTGTCCACCAGCATTTGTTCATTTCACCATTGTTATTCGTGTCTCACGAGATTGCATGAAAACCACCTAATATTAAACACTCCAGGAGCTCATCAACACTCCAAAGAATAAATTCTTAAAAGCAAGCCTGCTGTATCTAAGCGAAAACTATAGCGAAAGCAACTGGCGAAATAGTCTCTTTGCGTATAAAATTTTGCCTTTGTCTGTAACGGTGTGTCTGATCAACATCTTCCTTAGTTAAAATGAGGCTTTCGTTCAAAAAATTCAATTGGAGCCCAATAATACAATGCAATCCAATTTGCGATAGACAAATTCACTCTGTAGTAATGAGTGGAAAGCACAAATAAAAAAATTGACAACAAAAAATCTTTGGCGCTGTCAAACGCGCGGTTGTCAAACTTGTCACTGACCTTTAAGACTGGTCTAAAAGCTAATAGTAGTTGAAGTAGGGAAGTAGGAATTCCGAACAGATAAAAAAAATTTTAGGTGATAAAAATATACTTATATCTACCGTTTTAAGACTGAAATACGTTTAACAATGTTATGTTTAAATGGTTTTGAACTATATTGTTGGGTACCCCTGAAGTTTTAGACGGAGGGAGTAGTAACCTGGGAGATCGCTATGCGTAGAAGGTGAGGTAACCCGCTTAGGTGGGGTAACTATGATATAATCTCTCATTTCAATTTGATCACGTTTACATCAAAGGTGGGGTGACGCCACCTTCCTGGGTCCCCCAACTCTATGTTAACAGGCCCTAAATTAAAATTAAAGCGAAAATACCATTCACTTCACCTCTTCTGGGGACCGTTCATTTTTCATCGGAGGGTGGGGGGGGGGGGGGGGGGGAAAAAAATTTTGGGGGAAAGGGGGGAACACAAAAAATTTTTTTTTTTTTAAAATAGAGGGGGGGAAACATCAAAAAGCTCCCCCAAAAAGTGAATGAGAAAAAATTTAATTTGTAAATTTTTTACTTTTTGGGGGGGGGTTTGAATTCAAAAGTTTTGTTTTTAATTTCACAAAAAGAA